ACCTATTGAAATTTGCTTAAAAAACAAATCGCTCTTGTAATTTTAAAACATACATTTCACCTCCTGAGATTTATAATTTCATAACAAATCGTCTATTTTATTAATAAATCATCAAATCAATTAATAATTTTTAATGATATTATAAATATATTTTAATTAATAATTTAGATAATTTTATTATTATATATGAGAGTAGTTATAGATTTAATTTTTTTAGTTAATAATGTTAAATAAAAAATTATGACATTAGAGTATTTATAATTTTTCAAATCACATGAGATAATTTATATTTTATATAAATCTCACAAGATGTATTTTTGATTTATCCTTCAAATTAAAATGATCAATTTTAGAGAATCTAAACACATTTAAACTATTAAATTCATTATATAATTATATATGAAATTTATTATTATATATTAATAATAATTACATTGTTCTAAATCAAGAAAGTTCTATAACTATTAAATTTATTATATATCGTCATAAATCGTTATAAATTCTATAATTACATCATTATAAATTCATTATATAACTATTGACTGCACTATCAAGAAAAATCTATGAAATAAATGATTGAAATTAATAATTGGGATTTTTATTGGTAAATCCCATTTTGAAATGTTCTAATTCAAGAAGTCCATGAAGGAATTTTTTTAATCCACTTAGTCCCATGTATGTATACTTTTATTCCATAAAATCCTTTTTATCGATTTACATTATTTTCTTAGGCTCTTATGCACTTCTATTTAATGTTGATATTTAATATTAATATTTAATGTCTTTAAACCCTAAACCAAAAAAGCTCTATTTTCATCAAACTTTAATGTTGATATTTAATGTCCCTAAACCCTAAACCAAAAAAGCTCCATTTTCATCAAACTTATTAAAAATTTTGATAATCTTATAAAATGGACACATTTCCGGAAAGTTCTTTAATGGCTTCAACGCCCTGAGAATTCTCTCTCATCTGATGTGAACGTTCACAATACCTTTCCGAAAAATTCTCTCTTATCTAATATAGTGATGTGAACGTTCACAACATGTAAACATTCTTATTTTTAAGCAGTTATAATATGTTGTTTTTTCCCTTTTTGTGATTGTGATTGTGATTGCTATTGGTAATGATAATCAACATTAAATATCAACATCACATAATTGACAACACATCATGTAATTGCCCCTTTTTTATTATGAATATTCACATCATGTTTATATTCAAATAAAAGTTGAGGCTTGTGGTTGTGTAATTTGATGCAATGCTGATGTGAACCTTAACATCACCTTTATCACAACGTCATCTGATGTGAACATTTACATTCACGTCATCTGATGTGAACATTCACATTCACGTCATTTAATGTGAACATTCACGTCATCACATACAGTCATGTTTATATTCAAATGAAAGTCGAGGCTTGTGGTTGTGTAATTTGATGCAATGCTGATGCGAACCTTAATATCACCTTTATCACAACTTCATCTGATGTGAACATTCATATTCACGTTATCTGAGGTGAACATTCACGTCATCTGATATGAATATTCACATTTATGTCATCTAATGTGAACATTCACATCATCACGTGCAGTCAACATTTACATGCATCGAAACTACTAAAACATATTGGCAATCAATAAAGAACCATGTTTAATTTTTTGTGTAATATATATCAACATTAAATAGTGGTGTGTAGTTAATACATTTTTTTTGAGTGAAGATATGAGGAATAGGAATGGTCATGGAAACTACCAAAACATAATAATCAACATTAAATATCAATATTAATGGAGGCAAGAGAGATTGAGGGTGTTTTGGACTTCTTACCTCAAATAGGACCTAATGGAATAGTTAAAAAGAATATGAGTTGGATGGAATAAAAAAACTCTTAGAAAGGAGATTTATCAAAAAAGCTCTCTTAATAATTCTAATGAACTGCACTAAATCAAGAAAATTCTATGAAATGAATGATTTAAATCTTTGGAGTGATTTACCAAGCGTGTTGACGAGAGAGAATCAAAACTTTTTTGCATAAATAATTAATTACGAAGCTTCTGTGAAGTTGCCTTACGAAAAACAGAGAAGAATGACAATTGCGTTGCACATCTGTGTGCATATAAATCCCTAAAGCCTCCATTACCTAAAAGCATCAAAAATCAGTTTGTGTCCAGACTATACCAATGCAGTTTGTCTATAATTATGATCACGCAGTGACTGAGACACACACCAAAAACAAGCTCCCAAATTTCCAATCCCATGTAGTCTCACTACTCTTCCATCTCCTCCACACACAAAAAACGAGCTCCCAAATTTCTAATCCCATATTGTCTCTCTACTCTTCCCTCTCTTCTTCTCTCATTTCGCCATAGGCAGTGACATTGAAGCTTCAAACTGTATTACGCATGGGTCCTCTTGTTTGCAGAGTTTGATGAACTGTAGGAAAGCTTGTGCGTACATAGTAAATATAGAATGCATGAAGATGAAACAGTGGTTTGGAAATTGTTACAACACCATGGCAATGTTTCTGAGAAACAAATGGAATAACGTCAAGGGCTGGGCCAAGGCACTATTGAGTATCATTATGTGGTTCTCAAAGAATACTTGAACCAAAGTAGGTGACATTTTACTTCTTTAATATTATTGATAGTGTTTTTTTTTTTTTAAATGATTAATATAAAGAGCTAGTCTTATTCATGTACTTGATAGATGAAGGAAATGTTTACAATTGATCGAATGGTTGCCATTTCAGCACTTGGAATGGAGGTTGCTTCGGCAATTATGCAGCAAATCTCTAGTGCAAAAAAACAACATCCAAAGGCGACAAATGATCGAAGACTCTTTGTCATGGCTCTTCTTGCCACTGTATTTTCACTCCTAGGACTACTCCTAGCATTGCTTGAGATGATACATAAAGCACTAAGTTCTAGAAGATGGATTAATTGCAGATTTCTGTGGGTTAATATTGTTTTTGCCCTAGTTTAGACAATAGCCTCTTTAGTCCATTTTATTTTTCTACAATTTTATGCAAAAAATGACCCCATCAAATTTTCATTCCTTCCCATAGTATTTGCACTCATCATTGTGGTTTCAAGGTTTATTCCTCATCACACCGACACCATTGAAGCCCATCTTTCCCATGACAATCAAACTCATAATGTTATTGAATAGAAAGTTGATGGAGAGAACCGTGATCAACTGCACATCAATGCATAAACTTGGATAAAGAAGTTCTCAGTTTTGATTTGACAACAAAAGAGAAGGAGAAGGATGTAACTGTAAATATTAGGGTTACACTCGAACGAGAACTCCATTTCCGGAACACTCGAACCTTGTTGGTTCTTCCTCTTAGCCAATAATAGCTTCACACGAGTCTAGATCTGGAAACCCAATAATAGCCACAATGCTGGTCTCCTGGCCGTGGATCTGGGTTTCAACGAACAGCAGCTTGGGAGATTACTGTTTGCAGAGCGGTCCAATTTCTTCGTAGCTTTGCTTGAAATCGCAGAAACCAACGTTGATTTGTCACCAAGTCTATGGTGGAAAACCAAGATCTCAGTGTCACTATCAGTCAATGTTTTTCATTTTTTGTTAGAATTCAAAATTTTTGTTTTTTCATTTTGTAATATAGTACCATTGTTGGATATGGAAAATGTCGTCATAAATTTTTGTTTTTGAAAATTACTTTGAAATTGAGTCGCATGGTGAAAGTTTAATATTTGGTAAGATCTCACTCATATTAGAATAATTTTGGTCTACATTTTTAATTTTGAATATTTTTTAATAATTTTTTTTTAATGAGTGATTATTATACTAACCATATTATGCGCTAGATATTCTATTATTCAAACAATAATATCGATCATTAAATTTATTTAATTTTAATTCTTAATTATATCACATTGGACAATTTATTCAATCTTCAACCATGCCGCATGGGAAGGTTTGGGTTTTTAACTAGTTCAAATATGAATTTAGGAGCCTATCTAAAAATAAAAAATATATATATGATCTTAAGAGAATTTGAAGGATTTGTGGGACACATCATGGATTCTATTCTATTTTAATGATCTGAATAGTTAATTATGTAAGATTTTTTGTGTATAACATCCATTAAAAAATTACGTCAATCTAACAATCATAATATTTTTACTTTATTGAATGATTTATTTTCAAAAATTATTAATGATTTATATAAGAAAAAAAAGTTATAAATTTGAGAAAGTAGTGATTAAGCTCTGGTTTGGAATGTTGGTTTTAGGAGTTATAAGGTTAAAATAGTCATAAAAAAATAAAATAAACTAAAAAGTCAATAAGACAATGTCACATCCAAACTAAAATCATTTCATTTTTATCTCACAAAAGTTAAAAAACCAAAAAGATCAACCAAAACGAGACTTTTTAGTCCCAAACAGCTAAAAATCTAACTCACATCTCAAACGAAACTTAAATTAAAATTTAGAATTTACTGATAATATATATTTAATTTGTTAGATATTATATCCAGTCTAGTGGAAATATGAAAGAAGAGTTGTTAATCAACAATTATTTGAGAGAATTTATAAAATTTTAAGTGTTCAAGTTCCTAAAGCTCCCATCCAAAAAAATTAAAAAAATTCTAAAGCTAAATTACTATGATGAGCTAAGAATACCTTAATCATTTATCATTTTGATAAATTATTCTAATTATTTATCGTTTTAATAAATTTATCAGTATTATAATCAGTACTAAATAATTATTCTATAAACACAAAGATACATCTAAAAAAAATTAAAATTTTTATTCTATAAACACAACCATTCATCTAAAAAATTTAATTTATTTTTATTATCAAAACGATAAACAAATATAGTTGAAATCAAATTTTCAGTCATGATTTACGAGTAGACAAATCTTAAAGAGAGTGGTCTAATATTTGTTGGGCCTGGACAGTGTGGGCTATAAATGATTCCAGTTCAAGCCCACTTAAAACTGTCCCCCACTTTCCGAAGACCAAACGACACCGTTTTGAAGTTGGGTACCCATCTCTCTGTCTCTCTCTCTGCGAAAACCCTAATATTTCTCTCTCACATTTGTTGAATTCAAGTATTGTATTCAAATTTCATGAAAAATTGCATTGAAATTTGTTTATAAGAAGTTAAAAAGGCTTAAATCTTCATCGATGGGGAAGACTAGCTCACGCCGACCGCAAATTTGAGAAGAAACTCGAGTTCTATCGAGTGAGTTTTGAGTTTCTGTTTTTTTTTTTTAAAACACAGAATTACTATTCTCTGTTTGTTTTAGTATTTGTAATTGTTCAGTTTTGATATGTCCTGGTTTATGGTGGAAAATGGTTCAATACTTGTTCAGTTTTGCAAGTTTTGTTGAACTAGTGATTGTTGTAGTTGTGGTTGGCTGGAAACTTCTTCATTATCAAGCTAAGTTACATGCACTCACTCGGGTACAATAGTTGGGTTTGGGAATGTATCATCTAATTTTTGAGGAAGGATTCTCTCATCGAGTCCACTACTTAAATTCCTGCTTGATGGGCATTGGACCGACTTTTGGATTCAATTTTAATGATCTGAATTGTTCATATTTTAAAATTTGTCATGTATATCATACTTGTAAAAAATTAAGTCGATCAGATATCAACAATCACGTAAACTAAAAATTTTATTAAACAATAAAATTGTTTATTAAATTTTTTTAATAAACGGGTTTAGTTCTTCCGATATTCGATCAATTTAATTTTTTACAGGTATGATATACATGATAAATTTTAAAATATGAATGGTTCAAATCATCGAAATTAGGTTAAAAGTGAACCCAATGACCCATCAAGTAAGAAGTCAATGAGATAATTGAATGAGAGGATCTTCGTCCTAATTTTTATGTTAAGGATACTAGGACACTGCTATATATCACGTTTCTTAAATAAACTAAAATATTGTTTTTTATTTATAAAATGAATGAAATGGAAGTTTTGTGAATAGTTATTTAGTAAGATTTGCTACTAATACATACTTGTAGGGTGCATTTTCAATTAGGCATATCGGACACATATCCCATACACTTATTTAGGTCTCCAGTGTCTAACACGGCTACTTCACAAATTTCGAAGGGTTTGTGTAACATAGTTATCAAGAGATAGTGCCAAAATGCAGGGCTTTTAGTTGGTAGCTGGGTGCTTTTTATTGTTTGAATCGCTTTTTATTGGATTCTTAGCCTTCTTAACAATGATTTCCTCAAACATTAAATTTCAAATCTACGCTTTTTTGGGTTTTTTTTGGATAAGTTTGCATTTGTTATTATTGGCAGACTGCTTTTGCTACGATGAACATCCAATTTAAATCTGTTATATACAATTGTTTGCTTATGGCCTGAACATAGTATCACATGGAGATAAATCCTTTTATTTTGACAGTCCATCAGTTTTTATGCTTTCCTTTTGAAACATACTTGTAAAAAGTAATTTATGTTCTACCAGAAGACAAAAACAAGGAGCGAAAAAAAGAAATTGAAAGCATATGATCTCTCATCCCTCTCAGAGCTCCTTCCCGAATTAAAGTCTCATAGGCAACTGACTCCTACTGAGTTTAAACTGAATAGTAAATCCAGACAAAATCTAGTGTGAGTGCTCTGCTCTAATTCCATCATTCTTCAATGTTCATTCTTTCTTACCAGCTTTATTTTACCTTTGTATTTAGACTTTGTTTGGCAACTATATGTTCTAGTCAAAAAAATCACTATAAATTGTCATATCACTCTATCTATTTTTCTGCACATCTTTTCGTAAAAGTTAAAAAATTACTAAGATAACTTATTCTAACTAATGGTAAATCAAGAACCAAACTAATTTATACTGTTTCACTAAAAGTGGGACCAAATCAAATTGTATAACCTTTAGAACTGAATCAGATTGGTGCAGTTTACATTTAGCCGAGTCGAGTTGAGCTTTTCAAGCTCGAGCTTAGTTCATTTTTTGTCAAGCTTGAAAACCTAGCTAAGTTCATCTTGGAGTCATGGTGGCTAACTACGTTAGGTCTAATTGCTTGTGCTGATGCCTTGTTATGTGATGTTTAGGAGTTCTCTAGAAGGTTATATATGAAGCATGCCTTGTTATGTGATGTTTAGGAGTTCTCTAGAAGGTTATATATGAAGCATGGATACAGATAAGGTGATACGAAACAATTTAAAATAAAAAAAATACGGGCACGGTCAGAGTATGTTGGGAAAAATATTATAATTTCTAGTTTTATATTATACATTGGGTTAAAGAATGGTGAGAAACTATTCTCTCTGAAGTCAGTTTATTTTATTTTTCAATAGATAGTTAATTTGATAAAATCTGAAACAATAGATTTCTACTTTATACAAGTTACAACTCATTTTTGAAGTATCCGTGATTCATAGGTTGAAGGGTGTCTCACCAACTTGTACAAGAAAAAGCTCTCGGAAAAGCTTGAATCATCTAGTTATTTTCACTGGTTTTTCCAAATTGTCAGTGCAAGAGCCTTTTCAGGTTATGGCTGCCTTCACAGGGAGGGATGTTGCTGGATAACCAGTCAAGACCCTCATAAAGTCCTTGGCCGGACCTCGCGGAAGTACCCTGGATGTACCTGTATGAGAACAGTTCATCAAAACTGATGAGCCAAAACTAGAACACAGGAGAGAATGAAAAGAAACCGCAAAGCTTGAAAAGAGTTAAAGAAGAAGATTATTTTTTGAGAACTGAAAGAAGAAGATTAAAGTAACAACATATTGATTTCCATGAAATATTGCCCAAAGTTCTTTGGAGGGCTTGTTGATTAAAGTAGCATCAATAAGACCTTAGTCCAGAAACATTATATAACCTTTTAAAAGTGAAGAACATTTTTCTGTTAGAATTTTTATTTTCTGTTGTACCAAATGACAATGGTAGATCATATAGGTAAGATCACTAACATCTCATAAGTCACAAGTTTAATGTAAAAGTTAAAAACAAATTAAAGAAGAAAGATGCACAAATTCAACTCTAAAAAGTTGTGGTAAAAATCATTGACTTAAAAGAGAGATGATGTTGCATTTCTCACCACCGACGCTGGCCAAGCAAATGCAGGCCAAGTTTGTCAGCAATCTCAGAAACACACATAGCATGAGGAAGGTCTTGTTTATTGGCAAATACAAGTACGGTTGCATCGCGTAGTTCGCCCTGCAACAAGGATGAAAAAAGCTCGATACATAGACAACCAGTGCAAGAGTGACAAAACAAGTCCCTGATATGATAACAGTTCTTCCATTAATTTTAGAAAGAAAGAAAGAATCTCAAACTCATGGGAGAGATATCACCAACCTCACTCAGAATCTGGTGCAGCTCATTTCGGGCTTCTGAGATTCTTTCTCTGTCATTGCTGTCCACCACAAAAATGAGTCCCTGGGTATTTCGAAAGTAATGTCTCCACAAAGGCCGAATCTATCTAGCAGCAGAGACTGCTACATTATTAGTTGATGTTAAAAACACAACAACAAATAGATGATGCAAGTGAATTCAATTTGCATATTTTGTTTTTCAGCCTGTTAAATGAAGGCAAACTTCACTTTACCCTCCTATGGTTTGGGCCGCATGTGATTTACTTCCCTGACATTCGGAAATCACCACATAACCCCCCCTGTGGTTACTGGATTGAATTGCACAGTTAACATTTCCATCTAACATAATAGTCCGTGCACAACACGCACCTAATATGTAAATGGGCATGGAAAGATGATTTTCCTTCCGAATTAAATGACTAAAATGCCCTCATCTTTCATCATCAATTTCCAAAACCTACCCTCATCTTCATCATCAATATCCAGTCCACTGTTAGCTCTGGCCATAACCTCCACCGCCAACGCCACTCTCCGGTCAACCCCAGTCCAGAGCCAGTCTCCGAACAACCCCAATCTAGAGCCACCATTGTGAGCCCCGCTCTCTCTCTCTCTCTCGCCACCATCGTCGGTCGCTACTCATCCCAACTCAAATCGCGATGGCAATAGAGGCAACTAGGGTTTGAGGCCACAGATCGCGATGGCAGCTAGGGTTTGAGGTCACAGATCGCGACGGCGACTAGGGTTGAGATCTCAGATCGTAGCTTGCAACAACGACGAATATGGTTTGATCTTCACTCTCTATCTCTCACATATTTAGACATATAAAATATAATATGTTTAGGCAGCTAGGGTTTGAGAAAAAGATGAGAGATGTGGTAGAAGAAAGCATTAGCATGAACAATCTAGCTCAATATAAGCAACCTCGGGACTCCAATACCGTAGATTGATTTGTGATTTCAAATTACAGTATCCAAATTCTAATCAATTTATCAATGAATCCGTTTCTAAATCGATCTCAATGTTCACAGATTTGTATGTAATATTTGTGTGTTGATTTAATTGGTTTGTTTGATTGATTAATTAATTGGTATGTTTCAAATTACACCACTGCACACACACACACATATATGTATATTGGCAGAAACACACATATATGTATATTGGCAGAAACAATCTGTACAATTTATTGTGTAATGCTCACTAAATTCCAACCAAGAAAAAAAGTGAATAATTAGTTTGAACTTCAAACTTGAAGGCAAATTGAAACCCTAAGTTCTCTCCCTTGCTCTTCCCAAATGCACAACTATTGAATGAGAAATGCTATACAAAGGTTATATAGATAAGGGCAAAATAGTCTTTTTACTTCTGATATTAACGGTGTTAACTGTGCAATTCAATTCAGTAACCACAAGAGGGTTATGTGATGATTTCCGAACAACAGGGAGGTAAACCGCACGCGGCCCAAACCATAGGAGTAAAGTGAAGTTTGCCCTAAATAAAAAGTCAGTGTAGAGAAAGCGTGATTGCTAACAACGCTTTTTAAAAATGTTTTCCATCGTACAAAACATCAGAAAATATTTTCTAGAAATTTTTTTACATTTCCTTCAAATTTTCATTTCATTTTTTTTCCCAATACCAAGTTTTCAAAATCATTTATTACCTCGTCTAAAAATGAGATGAAAGTAAACAAATTCCTAAACTTTTTACCCTGTCTTGTCCTCCAACATCCCACAGAGTGAAACTGATATTTTTGTACTCTACAACTTCTACATTAAAACCTGCGCAATAAATGGCAATTAATTGTTTGTCACATGCTATAAAATATTAAATCAAATTATACCAAACTCAAAATTATGTTTCTGTTGCTGCCAATTCAAATCATTAGCAGCAAAAGTTAGATGAACCTAACCAAATTACAAAGATAAAATAGAGTGCATAAAATATTTGATCTCACCTTATAAGATGTCAAAGACGAAAACAAAAATTTTATACAGCCGCTGAGGAACTTTGACTAAATAGCTTGAATTTGAAATTTTTCATGAAAAAATTAGAAAAAAAGTAGTCCAGTGGAGAGTTCAGGGATGAAATTATTATGATTTAACTATGATCTGGAAACTAGTTAGTAATTTGGCTGCCATACTGAGAGAGAGAGAGAGAGAGAGAGAGAGCCAAGTAACATATGGTTTTTGAGAACCTTTTCAGAGTCGGACATGGAAATCAGTTGTGCAATTAAGGTAAGTTTTCAAGAGAAATACCTATTGTTGGTACAGTTACAACGACTTCTCCCAGCTTCAACTTGTACAGAATGGTTGTCTTCCCTGAAGCATCAAGACCCAGCATCAGAATTTTCATATCAAACTTTGCAAGAAACCACTTTACAAGTCGAGACATGGACACACCCATGCTAAATCAAGTCAACTCGAGAAATAGACAGAGGTTGGAGGACCTAATTTGTGAAGAAGAGAAGTTTCATCTGCAGGATGACTCTCCACCACCTACATAAGAACATATCCAAAGAAAGTGTCTTGTATTCCAAGTAATCATCAGACAAGATGTTAGGAAAAGGTAAAGGAGAATGAGATTCTTACCAAAAGAGAAGACAAAGATAAAGGGCAATTTTTTTCCCCCCTATACTTCCAATACTAGTTTTTGTCATTCCAGGGGAAATATCGAACTTACCTTTGTAGAGATGGAAAAAATTCTGATTCCAAAACAAAATATATTTAAGCATTTTGAAAAGGTATATGTTTACTTGTCCACATGTCCATCATCATAAACTACAAAATCCTCAATAAGAATAGGGATGAGATCATGGGCTCCAACTAAGATGAAAAGTCAATCTATTGAAGGATCAGAATGTTTCTTGTTGACCATTCTTCTAAGAGCATTCATGACAGTGAAACAGCAATCAGACTGCAGAGGCATGGCATTACATGAATGATGACTCTGTTACTTTTACATTCTCAATTGTCGTCATTTTTGTAGGTACTGATATGCAATTACATAAATGAACAAGAATGTAATTAAGAATATGTTTCAAAAGCTTTACAACCACCAAGCAGCAACTTCAAAGTGATCAACTCTTAGAGGCAGATTGAAAGATAAATATTGCTGTCAAAACGCCCACCAAAGCTGTAACTGCCAAGGCCACTGTTGGTAAGGGGCTTGTGAGACCAAAATTCTGGAACATCAAAATAAACAGAGGTTGATAAGATGAACAACCATGAGTGTGTGCACATGAGTGTCATTGTGTGCTAGAGAGAGAGAGAGAGATCCATTTCAGTAAAGAATTCATCAAGACCCAATCAATATGGGAATGGTGAATTACAATTACCAGCATAAACCACCAAGACAGAAAGTTCTATGTAGCATGTTGCTCAAATGACAAGATAGGCAGCGAATAGAACCATCATGTGTAGCTTAAAAACAAAGCAGCTTTTTCACATAATTCTCAACGGGCAGGTGAACAAACTTCGGCTCTTGAGGCTTTCCATAATGGAAAGCAAGTGAACATTACAAAGGAATACACCATCATAATTGTATAGCCACAGGACCTTTATTTACCTTAAGCAATTAATGTTTATTAGATAAAACCTTTTTGTTTTTTTTTTTTTTTTGGTTGCTTTTTTCTACATTTGCATCATCCCATATTGAATATTTCCATCATCAATATTGTTCCACTAGGGATTAAAAAAAAAAATCTCAAAATTAAAACATGAAATACTGTGTTATATACAATTGATTTCTTTTCTTTTCTTTCAAATTTTATTTTATTTTTTTCAAATTGGTGGACTATGTGTCTGGATTATACCAACAGAAACATGAGCTTGTATGTGCTATACCTCCAAAAGTCCTTTGCCCGTGGCTATTTCAACGCTAATAGCCACTGCAAAGCCAACCATCGCCAACCGCCCTAGCCATATATCCAAATTAGTGCCCTCCTTGGTACTCTGCTCACTCCTAATGGAAACTGATGTAGCTTTGTATGCAAATTTCCTTTGACGAGTAGTTCTCCATATCACTAGAAAGGAAACATCAGCTATCATCAGGCTTACATGCAATTCCAAATATTTAGGGAAAGCTACAATTTGGAACTATACTAAAAAAACAATGAAAATCACCAAAAAAAACAAAAAACTCGCATTGCTAATCGTGAGCCTGTGTTGTGAAGAGGATTCATTAAAAGAGTCTAATGTAGCATTAATATCCCATTGTGGATTAAATTTCCAGCAATTGAAAATCATTAATTCATGGACCATCCATTTATCTTTATATGAAGTAACCGCCTTTTCCACCATGGTAGTGTTGTACCATTTCATAGTGAATGGTCCCCTTGTACCTTCAACTTTACTTGGGCAACATGTCTGGAATGTTACTCGTATGGAGTCATAAAGTTTTTATCATGTTATGTACTAAGAAAAAACCCAGATAGATTTGGTTCCAAATTCAAACTAAATTTTAAGTATTTTTTGGGAAATAGAGAAAACAGGTTGGGGGATCAACAACAGTGCATCAACTGCTTGAAAATGTGCAATAGTCATTTTCAAAGAATTAGAATTCCAGTCAGAGACTCGCAGCCAGCTAAATTGGCCAAACTGAAGAATTCTGGAGGCAGCTCGAACTCAAGAAGACTTGGCAATCAGGAGAGCAATTTGGAATGGCCATGCATGTCAAAGTGCAAAGAGCAAAGTCCCCCTCCCAGTGGTTTTTCTATTTGATTTGCTTTCTTTTGTTGAGTGGCTTAGGATGGTTTCACATCTACTTTGAACCAATATTAAAGATACAAACAGAGTCCATATTATCAATGAATGATATGAGAACCACAACAAAGTCCATTTCATAGGATTCTGTATGCAATGAATATATTCTCTTATGAATCTTCTCCTGTCTTTATAAATGCATTAGTGTGCATATTTCTCTGACAGTTGAATAGAAGATGGGGACATTTTCCGTGAAAACATGTACTGTATACAAATAGCCAATCTTACATATACAATGTGCGGATAACATTTGCATTGGGCCATAAATGAGCTCAATGGAATTCAAGTTTGTTGAAAACTTTAAAAAGTTTTAAAATGTATTTAAACTTCACTTATTTAATTTTTGAGCCAAACTACTATGCTCTTTAACCGAGTCAATAACGAGTTGAACTTGAGCAGATTAGCTATTTTATAGTGCATTGAGTACTAGTATGTTCAACACTGGCTTGAAAATTTAACTAATTTCAAAGTATGTATGAAAATTTAACTAATTTCAAAGTATGTATAAAAATTTAACTTATTTACATCGTGAGTATCAAACATGTTACCAATAAGCCGAACACGCGTTCGAGTTTGAGTAGTTAGAAAGCTTACAAAGCGGAGAACCGGAGACAAAGGCAGTCCCAATTGGAGCCATTTTTGCAACGGGATGCCGAGCAATGGCAGGGCTTCTTGCTGTCCTCCACGCACAAAAACCTGCACAATCTATGCATTTTCAAGCTTATTTGAATAAGCACACACACACACACACACATATATATATATATATATAGAGAGAGAGAGAGAGAGGGATACCATGGATGGAAGTATAGAGAGAGGAAGAAACTTGAGCTACAGCCATAGTTAGCTCAGTGCTAGAGAGAGAGAGAGAGATGATTTGGGGACTTTGAAGCCTCTCTCACACCTTTCAATTTCTATCTATTGTGTAAGTTTTCTGATCAATCAAATGGGCATCATGAGGATGTTTTATACTAGAATACGGACACGTGTCTTGCCCTGACTTGACGGATGAATTCCACTCCCGTTTTTGCTCCTTCCACGCACGCACGCACGCTCAGCGTGGCAATAGCCATCGCCATTGCCATTTTTATCTTCTTGTCATTCGATCTGGTTTTTGGAAACCCTAGCTGTGATATCTAGTCTCTGCTGCCAATCAGAACTCGTTACCAGTCCCCAACAGTTCAATTCAAGAACCGCAAACTTCTCTCTCTACCTCAGAGTCATCTCGGCATTGTTCGGGTTCGTCTTTCTCGAGGTTGAGAGATCCTACACTACACTGTTTTCATCATTCGTATGCACAAATTCTCAATCTAATTCCCAACGAAACGAATTCGATATGAATTTGTTTCTTTGTGGAATCAATTAGTTGATTTTGTCAAGCATTGCGCACAAATTTGTTTGGTTAAATGATTATCCAAGACTAGAATGGTTGGGTTGAATTTGCAAAACTTGGTCTCATTATCAAGGGTCCAGATTTAGCTGAATTACTGTATTGTTAATTGTCACAGATCCAACTAAGAAAAGGAGCTATGCACGTAATCTACCGCTGTGTTTGGTTGAAAGATTTGAGGAAAGATTTGAAAAAGGAAAGGGAAAAGTTAGGTAAACTATGAATAAAATATATTTATATTTCATCTAATTTTACACATCTTTTCTCTTTTTCTTTCCAAATCTCTCCCCAAATTCCTCAACCAAACATAGCATAAATGATTAGCTGTTTGTTTGGGTGGGGGATTCGGAGTTCTGGCAGCTGGTTGGTAGCATATTGTGCCAGTACAGGCGGATCCAAAGCATCAAAAGAAATTAAGATTAAATATTTATAGATTTATGATTAAGGCATGTCCATGAATATTAACTTTTCTTTTCTTTTCTTTCTAAACTAGTGGTAATCCGTGCTATGTACGTCATGTAAAAAAATTAAATACAAAATAATTTAATTTTTAATTATTTTAAAATTTGTGTTTAGAAAGATGATTGAATTTTTTTTTGTAATTAAATGTGATGTTTATGAGGAAAAAAAATAAAACGATTATGAATTTGATTTAATATCTTTATTTTATTAATTATTTTATTTTATTATAAATTTTAACTCCAAAAAAAAAATATTAAAATCCAACTTGCCAAATACTCCCACTATTTGTTCAATTGTATGCTGCTATCATTGGAAGTCTGTTTGTCAGTTATAAAAAATAGGAAGTTGTTTGTTTTAGTGCAGGTAAGTGGCTCTGCTTTCGCGGATGATGCTGCTGGTATTGCTGCATATTTGGTGGTTCATAATCTCTATGTCGCTCTCCCAATGCTCAACTTTCAGTCCCCTTTCTGTGACTACCAAGGCTATATATATATATATATTATATACACACTAGTGATAATCCGTATTATGCATGATATATAAAAAAATTAATAATATATTTTTATACAAAATAATATATAAATAATTAAATTTTTGTATGCAAATTATGAAAACAAAGAAAATTAAAATTTATAATTTTATCGCAATATCACAATATAAATAGTTAAATTTAACTTCTACAATTTTATCACAATTGATTTATTATTTTTTAATTTATCACAAATTTAATCATGTAACCTTAAATCTCCCTTATTAGAATTATAAATTTAGATGAGCTCAACTCAAGCAACTTGAGTCGAGTTTAAATTTTTTTAAAGATTAAACAACATAATTTTCAATTAAGTGAGGATCTATGCAGAAATTTAAAAATTCAAATTAAATTTGAGTGGATTTGGGTAGAAACACTAAAAAACTTGAGCAACATCTTTACTTTTCTATACATATTTTCGTAAAAAATAAAAAAAATATACTTATTTAGCACTTCCTAAACTACTACTAAGTTGATATTAAAAAAATTTACTTTTTATAATGGCATAAATAATTTAATTATGATTTTTTAGAAATTCTTTTAAATTTAAAAATTACAATAAAATATTAAATAGAATAAAAATAAATTTCTTAGAAAATAAAAGTATTTGAATAAAAAAAATGTAAGAAGAAAATTTAATATAGCATTTTCATTTAATCTAAAAATAATTCTAGATGAATAATAAATTATCATCTATAATTCTCTGTTTTTTTAAATAAAATTTTTTAATGAACTATCACTTTTAAAAAATTTTCGTTTCTTTATAATTTATTTTAGTAAAAGTAACTTTTTAACAATTTGAGCCAAAGATATCTTTATTCTTTATTTTAATTTCTTTAATTGACAATTGAGATAAAAAAAAAATGAATAAATAAAATCAACCTAACAAAATCCACCATGTTTGGTAAGTACTAAAAAAAGTTATGTTTTACTCTTTTGTTTAAAAAAAATTTATATTAAAAAATATTATTGTTCAAGTTCTTATAGTTTAGAAGGATATAATTTTGTTTTTATAAAATTTAAAACAAAAAAAGGAAGAAAATTTAATAGCGATTAATAATTTGAACCATGTATTTAAAACAAATTATATTTAGACCAATAATATTATGACACATGTGAATATTGATCTCATTCTAATTGTAGTAATATAATTTGAAGAAGAATTTAAATTTGAAATTTATTTAATAATTTAATAAATGATGCAAAATTTAAGGAATGAATATTGATCTCATTCAATTTAAGTAAGAATCCAAATTTGAAATTTTATTTTAAGAATATAAAATTAATTTATAGACCAATCACATTGTAACATGTATTAATAAAAAATTAAACAAAATTTTTTTAAAAAAATGAGAAAAAACCTTAATGAAATGATAATATTTTGCAATTATAATAGTATATAGATATATAGATAAATCATGGAATAAATCATTATTTAAAACTTATTTATTATGGGATAAATCATTATAATTTTAAATTTAAATTAATGGAATGCTTTCCATATTTATTGACCTCAAATTTAAATTTTGAAATGGATTAATATGCTTTCTATTTTTTGTTTTATATATTTGATATACTTTCCATTTAAAAGTCATAAATCAAGAGATATTAATTTTTTTATTTTTTTGCTTGAATGAGAGCTATAGAGGATTTTTTTATTAATTAAAATTAAAAAATTTGAAATTTTAGTTTGAGATATTGGAGCTCCCACAAGACTTGAAATTTTAGTTTGAAATTTTAGTTTGAGCCAGACCGGTTCAATCAACCCTTGGCCTGGTCGACCGGTTCACCGGTTTTCAAAAAATAGGCCGGTTTTTTCAAATAGCCGGTTTAAGAGGGTCGACCGGACCGGAACCCCATCCGGTGAACCGGCCGGTCCGGTCCGATTTTCAAAACCATGGCAGTAGGTATGGGAGAAGTTAAAAAAGTTTGTAGGTTGGAAGAAGTCACTAAATGCTGAGGTTTCTTTTTTTTAAATCAAAAAATTTGAAAATTAAGATTGGGATATTGGAGCTCCCACAAGACTTGTGAGTTAGAAACTCTATTTTCCTTATATAATATATAGATAGATAGATAGATAGATTTAATAAGAATTTATATATATTTTAGATATTTTTTTAATATACAAATTTTTTTTAAAATTTTTATAAAAGTAATTTAACAATCCCATCAATAACCACTAGTGGTAAATCCGTGCTATGCATAAGATTGATTTAATAATGCATAAATTTTTTAATAATACATTAAGCTCTAATTTAAATCATAAAATTATAATCATAATGCATATAGATCATCTTTTCAAATTTCATAAATAAAAACAATAATACTTCAAAACAAATATTCACAAAATATTATAATCATCCAACTGATATATTTTTCTTGAAATAATAAATTTGATTTCTAATTGATGAAGTTAACAATAAATAAGATGTTTCTCAATAAACCTAATATTTAAAACATATATATTCTAAAAAAACTAATAATAAACTGAATGTTATAAATTAAATCTATCTATATTTGATAAATTAAAACTCAATAAATATTGCTCATCATGTCCAAATGCCCTAGAAAGTGCCTGCTAAAAAAATAAGAAGAAGAAAAAAAAAATGCTATCATTTTTTTAAATTCAAATGAAATTAAAAAAAAAAAAAAAAAGAAAAAAAAAAAAAAAAAAAAGAAGAAGAAGAAGAAGAAGAAGATATATTACCTTATGATGAGTGTTTATATAAATTTTTCAAAATTTGTTCCCTTTACTTTATTTTAGCTCGATGGTAATATTGTTTCCATTTTTTTTCCTAATTTTTGCATTGCTCGACATATTTTGATTTTCCAATCATCAATATTTTTTACTGGTAAATCCTCTTTATGCAGTACAGTTTGAAATTCATTTATGACATTTTACATGGCCAAATGATGGCTACAATGCAAATTTAGAGGAGACCGCATATTTATCTGCACAATAAATTTAACACATTTGACATTCAATTACATAAAGAATAAAATAAGCAAGCTCGATAGTACCTGCAATACAAAAGATAAAGAGTAAAAAATCTCAATAAGTATCATTGTTTATTATAGATATTAAAAAATAAATAAATAAATAAATCTACTGTACAACATCCATTTATTGAGGAGCTAATGTAACTTTTTGTAAAAAAATTATAACACAATGATTTTAAAATAAGAAAAAAATAACGTAATCAAATTATTGTTGTACATGAAGAAAAAAAAAAGGATTCTATTTAGAATTTTTTTTAAATTACAAAATAAACACAAAATAGTGTTTTTCTGTGGATTTGTATTGGATTTTACGTGATAGATATCTGATTGAGTAGATTGTGGGTGATGGATATGCATGCGTAAATTGTATGAATAAGACTTGTGGATTTTTTTTTTTTTTAAATAACATGATAGACATTAGATATTTATAATTTGTATATATGTTTTTAGTTTATTTAAGTTACAGATATTCGAGAGTTTTTTTTTTTAAATAATATGATAGACATTGGATATTTGTAATTTATATATAGATATATATTTTGTGGGTTTAGATTTTGTGAATTTTTTTTAAAAAAAATAACGTGATAGACATTGGAAATATATTTGTAGGTTTATATTTTTTTATTAATTTATTTAATTGAGAGTGAGATTTATTTTAATTTATTTAAGTTATGTAATAGACATCTAATTTTCTTGAATTTTAGGTGAACTATTTTTGATACGTAAAAGAGAGGATTTATAAAAGTCAAAGAAAATATCAACACTGTTACATGAGAAGAAACAAATCAAATCTGATTAAATTGAAGAACAAATGCAAACCACAAATTAAAACGCAAGTAAGCCCAAACTATGCAAAATGTAATAATAGAGAAGATGAAAAGAAGTGTAAATGAACTAAAAAATATTGAGAAAAAAATATATACACAAAAAAGTAATAAACACTGGAAAAATGCATATAAAGTAAGAAATAATATTAGGAGTATAAAAATGGAGAAGATTAAAAGATGTGTGTGGATGAACTAAAAAATATTAGGAAAAAGAAAACAAATCGAATATGATTAAAATGTGTAAATGAATTGAAAAATATTGGAAAAAAGAAATATGTACACACAAATAATAAACATTGAAAAAAATGCATATAAAATAAGAAATAATATTGGGAGCATAAAAATGGAGAAGATGAAAAGATGTGTAGATGAATTGAAAAATTAGGAAAAAGAAATATATATACACAAAGATATAAAGTACGAAATAATATTACACTGACCTTATAATAATTTTTGCAGATCATCAAACTTAGAAAATGTAATAATGGAGAGGATAATATGATTTTCGCAGATCATCAAACTTGCAAAATATAATAATAAAGAGGATGAGTTAATCTGAGAAAAGATAGGTAGATAAAAGAAAATGAAAATGAGTAGATGAAAGAGAATGATTGAATTTGACTAAAATATGGAATAAACTGAATGTAAAAACATGTGTGTAGAGTTGTAGGAGGTATAGGTGATGAATATGGATGAATATAGCTGTGGGAGTTGCGAGTGATAGATATAGGTAAATATGGATATAAATAAATATTTTATATTTTATTATAGGAAGAGGGAGTGAAAATGCCTGAATAGTGGAAATGTCATGGAGATCCCATGATCATCTCCAGCTGATGTATTGATGTCGTTATTGGTTGCTAAAAGCAAACAATCAAGTAACTCTATAAAGTCTGTCGTTGAATCTCTGGCCTTTCCATCTTGTAACCCATTCATCAAAATGTCAAAATCACCCATTAGAGTACCCAATGAGTTCATCATCATGTAAGGTTGTTAATTGGCGGGGAAAAATAACAGAATTGTCCAATAGTTTCATGGCGCTATGGAAAATTCAAGCTTTTTATTTTGTTTTATTAAATCAAAACAAAGATTTGGATATATATATATATATATATATATATATTTTTAGCATTAGACAAACGAAGAGAAGGACCGTGCTTAACACGGAGATGCGCAAAGTGAAAAAGAACCAACGAGGATAAGGGAAGGAGTAGCATCTGCCGCAGGGGTTGGAAAAATGGGAAAGGAAAATATCTCCGTTTTTTTTTTTTTTTTTTTTACTGTGACTGTTTGGAAAATTGTTATTTTAGTAACTTATTTTAATTTTTAATTATTTTAATATGTTAAAATTTTTATATTTTGAAAGATGATTGAATTATTTTTGTAATTGAATTAATATCTATGAAAAAAATAATAATAATTATTAATTTAATATGACATTTTATCTTAATTAACTATTTTATCTTTTTTGTAAACTTTAACTTAAAAAAAGGAGGAGCCTAAAATCCAACTCGCCAAACACCCCCACTATTTGCAGAAGGTATATGCATAGCTGTTTAATTGTATGCTGCTATCCTTGGAAGTCTGTTTTTCAGTTATAAAAAAGAGGAAGTTGTTTGTTTTAGTGCAGGAAAGTAGCTTTGCTTTCGCGGATTATGCTGCTGGTATTGCTGCACATTTGGTGGTTCATAATCTCTATTTCGCTCTCCCAATGCTCAACTTTCAGTCCCCTTTCTGTGACTAGCAAGGCTATATATATATATGGTACATCTCTTTAACATCTATTGATTAAGTGAAGGTAAAAATTTGGAGGGCTGATCTGAGGAAACCATGATAAGAAAATAAACTTCCCAAAAAAAAAATTTCCTATCAATTTCTCGGTCCAGGATAAGAAAATAATCACCACTCAATACAGTAAACTCACAATTTGAATAGCTCTGAATTATTTTTGCCTCCCCTAAAGCTACCACAACATGTGCAGATACCCATAGGAGTACCCTGCATTGCCAAACCCGTCTAGGCCTCTCCTGTCTGGCTCCCAACAGGACACTCATGATCACGCTCAAGAAAAGTTGCTATGCATTGGCTGTCTGGTCTACCCTTGTTACCTAGCAAAAACTAATGCTATCACAAAACACAAACGAATACTATCAAAATTGTGCAACAAACAAACTATAACTTGAGGAAAACAAACTCTTCAATAGCTGGAACCTCCCCAATCCTCTTCAAAGCCTCCTTGCACGGCTGCTCATCCACTCCAATTGCCATCACAGCTTGCTTCCGTGGAGCAATCCTTCCAACGCTCATAAAGCTCACGTTGACATTCTCCTCCCCCAAAATGCTTCCCACCATCCCAATCATACCTGGCTGATCAACCTGGCTGCAGAGGATAATACTACCTTCCAAGCTCACATCAACTTCAAAAGATCCAACTTTCGTCAAATGGGGAATCCCATCTTTTACACAACCCTCCACTTTAATCTCCCCCGACTCTGAAATTGCACTGGCGAATTTTGATTCCACGTTTGCAATCTGAACCTGGACAAACACTAGTGGACTTTCTAGTGAACCGTCTAACATTATACGTTCTTCAGCTATCCGAAGGCCTCTCTGTTTAGCAGTGAAATCTGCATTTACCAAGTTTATGAAAACGCTTGATATTGGCTCAATCAGACCCTTGGTGATCATGGCTCGGAGCAGTCTTGTGTCAAGGTCATCGGGAGCTCTAGCAGAAGCGTATGTCACCTTTACAGATTTCACACCACTCCCACCTGCTACTAACTGGACAGCTAGTCTGCCAAGCTTCTCAGCAAGTACAACAAATGGTTTCATCTCATTTAGAACCTGCAGAGTTATGAAAGGAGAATGCAATTAGAATCTCAAAATTTAACATCTTGAACTTTTTCGATAAGACCAGCTAAAATTTGGTCAATGAATGCCATTTGCACACAACAGTACAAGACACAAGCGCATGCACAAACACAGGCAAAATGGCAAATTGTGTTCTCAATTTATATCTTTATAAAACATAGACCACTCAAGAAAATATATTTTAAAAGAAATTAATAATGAAATTAAGTTTAGCATTCACATTAGAATAAATATCATGAAATTTTAAAAATAAAAAAAATTCCACAATGATACATACCTCGGCAGGAACCATGGGCGCATTGACTGCTGTAGCAGCAAGCTCCCCATTCAAGGCTCCAACAACAGCTTCAGCAATCTCAATTGCAACTCCTTCCTGCAGATCAAAACCAAAACATTAATTAATGACTTAATGAAGCAAATATAAAATAAGCATGAACAGATGTCAAGGCTCATCATTCAACACACCTGAGCTTCCATAGTACTGGCACCAAGATGTGGAGTTACAGTTACTTGTTCATGTAGTACCAATTTGTTGTCATTTGATGGTGGCTCTACAGTGAAAACATCAAGTGCAGCCTGCAAGATGGAGGAGACATGTTATCAACCTTCTTCGACAAATAATAGATTGCTTTTGTTCAAAAAACGAGAGAGTAGGAACCTGAGCAACAATGCCAGCATTCAATGCCTTCACTAAAGCTTCTTCATCAATTACTCCCCCACGTGCAACATTGACAATTCGAACTCCTTTCTTCATCTTAGCAAAAGTTTCATCATTCAGAATCTTTGATGTAGCAGAAGTGAGAGGCATATGAAGTGAGATGAAATCAGCAGTTGCTAAGGCTTCATCAAAGCTCACAAGCTCCACACCTATAGCACGGGCACGGTCTGCTGGGGCATACGGATCATGAGCAATCACATGCATACCAAGCCCTTTGGCACGCCTGGCAACTTCTGATCCAACCTTTCCGAAACCCATCACAGCAAGTGTTTTGCCAACAAGGGATACACCCACATATTTGTTCCGCTGCCACTTCCCTGAAGTGGCCAAAATACAACAAATTAATAGGACTTAATATTTTTCTCAAATATACTGAACCCAATGTGCACATTTAAAGATTAGAATTGCTTCTTGGCATGTAAAAGGAGAACAAGCTCTGTACTCCAAGGTTTTCAATTTAAAACCCCTGAAGCATGTGAACACAGTGGAAGCCGCTATATAGGCAAAGCTGGTAACTTTTCCTTGGCAGCAAGTGTTTTCTTTCCATACATTTCACCTATATTTCACACACAATTTTCTTTTCCAAATCCAAATCCCTCACCATATTCATGAACCAAACACAACTACGGGAGATGTTTTTATAGTTCATCATGAAACAAAAACTTAAACAAATTTTTTAGAATTAGGATTTGAGTGGAAGAAGATAAAGATAATATGATATAGGAGACACTATAGTACACAGCCAGGGTGTATATCATATGCACTTTATAATTAAAGAAAAAAAAGAGAGCATAACTTCATACTTTCTTAGTCATAACTAAAAAGAGAGAAAAATGTCATAACCAAACACAACATGAGACATAACTAAAGAGGTCGCAACTAAAATAATATCATAACAAAAGCAGAAAATGATATCTAGATGTGCATAAAATTGTATTAAGAAGAAATTCATATTGTGTTTGATTCATGAATTTTGGGGATTTAGAAAGAAAAAGTAAAAAAAGTGTGCAAAACTAGTAAAATGTAATTATATTTTATTTACATTTCATCTCCTTTTTCTTATTTCATTTCCAAATCCCTATCCAAATTCATTAACCAAACATAGCCTAAATGTGTGAACGGAAGAAAATTGGGTATGAAAATAGAATTATCCCACATTTCACGAACCTTAATAACCAGACTTAACAGTCAGATCTGGCAAGTTTCCGCCATTTCCAGCTGAATCAGTATCTAAACTAGCAAAATGTTTAGACCTTTTAACTTTCCCAAGCATAACAAAATAAAAGGAAAAGAATATACTTACACACAAGTGAATCGATCCAGATCCGAGAGAAAAAATAAAATAAAAATAATAATAATAATAATAAAACGATTTTTATAACTTAAGATGATTCTTTTTTTGTTAAAAAAAAATAAAAAATTACCATAATTAATAATATTTTTAAAAATAATTACGACTTATATGTCCAATAAATTTTATAATACGAATGGTTCCAATCATCACCACGGATTCAGTAAACCGGATCTCAACCAAACTTTAATAGTACGAATACACAACAAGGACAATAAAATCTAAAAGAGAAGAGAATCAAAAAATAAATTGAATTAAAAGGTAGGTACAAGAGGTAACAAACCAGCTTTGACCGAAGCATCGGCGTGCGCAATTTTCCGAGCCATGGCAGTAAGAAGCGCGATCCCGTGCTCGGCGGCTGCGACGGTGTTAGCCGTTGGCGCATTAACCACAAGGCAACCGTGCTCCGTCGCCGCCGCCAGATCCACGTTGTCGATGCCGACGCCGGCGCGTCCGACGACCTTGAGCCTCCCAGCCGACGCCTCGAACACATCGCGATTGACTTTGGTGGCGCTGCGAACGATCAGAGCATCGCAGAGCGAGATCTTAGTGCAGAGCTCTTCGGGACTCAGGTTGTAAGAGCAATCAACGTTGGCCACGTCTTTCAAGAGATTGAGACCTGCTTCACCGAGCTTCTCGGTGACGAGGATCGTCGGTTTGGAGTCCATGGACACCACCACAAACACCGGCGAACACCGTCTGCGGCGGCGGGGGAGAGAGACGGTAACGCTGAAGGAGGAGGAGAGAGGGAGCTTCTTCCATGAGAGAGAGGAAGGAGATGATGAGTTATTGAGAGTGGGAGAGGAGAGAAATGTTGAAGAAGCAGAAGCCGCCGCCATTGGTGATGCGTGATGTTTCGAATCTCTGCTTCGTCGCTCTCTTTTTTGTGTGTGTGTGTGTTCCCTATCTACTAATCGGAAGGCAAATGGGGGTATGAACGCCTCTATACAATTAATCTTTGGAGAAATTAATTACAAATCATGGAAGTATACCGTTTTAATTAACCGCGGACCTATGTATCAATTAATATGTATATTAAGGTGTGTTTATTTAGCCCGATTGAATAAGAAAAGATTGAAATTCATCTAAATGTTAGTTCTAAGATACATTATTTTCCGAGATCATTTAGTTTGACTGGATTTGTATCTTATATTTATTTAATTAGGGATTAAATATTAGAAAATGACTATTTGATTGGATAGTATATGAATCTTATGTTTGTTTGGAATATTATGGAGAAAGATAAATATTTAAATAATTATTTTATCCTTTTAATTATTTATTAAATAATAGCAATATTAAACATATCTTTAATATTTTAATTATTTTTAACTAAATTAAATAATATTTTATTTTATTTTATTTTTTACACAATTAAATAAATTTATTTTTTTAAAATTAAATAAATAAAATATCAATAAAAATATATATGAAACCGACGGCAAGCAACTCGGCAACTCCTGCACCAACATTAAAGGATTGTGAAGTTTAGAAATGCTGAAGAAAAGGGTACATTATTTTAAATAAAATATAAACTAAATTTTAAAATAAAACATCAATAAAATATCTATAAAAAATTATTTTAAATAAATAAAACATTAATAAAAATTAAATAAAATTATTTTATTTTTAAATTGAGACATTTAAATTTTACTAAATATAATACATAATTAAATAATAAATGATCAAAATAGTCATTTCACTACCTAATCTCATATATATCCCCTCTTATCCCTCCATTTGTGTCTACGAATGGTCTAATAGTCCAATCTCACCTCTTAATCTCTCAAAACAAACATCACCTTAGTGTACTAATTGGTGTTGTGTCATTCTTATTCACCTCATCTATTATACAAATTACAAATAACCAAAACCTCTAAAATTATGGCACATCACTTGTTAATATACTAGTTAGTACATTAATTGGTACATATAACATTATTCTTTAATTAAAGTATATATAAAGTTGGCAAATGTTCATAAGTGTTCTTTATATATGGTTTAATATTGAAAAGCATGTATAAAGTGTCTTAAAAATATATGAAATTATTAAAAAATATATTAATTTCAGTAAAAGTGTATTAAATTTAATATGTCTTATATTTTTTTATATTTTTTTTATCTTTTACTTGTACCTAATGGCACTTGTTAACAAGACATGTAAAATTTATTACTGGATTTTAATTTTTATATTAAACCTTCCCTGTGCTGTTATTTCTTTTTAATTTTTTTAGATTGGGCGAATTTTTATTTTGATTTTTCGTAATTTTAATTTTGTTTTTTTAATTTTATGTTTTCATTTTTGTTTTAATGCGATTTTTTGGCCAGTTGTTGTTGATATTAAAAAAAAAAAAAAAGAGTTTCTTTCATATTTCGGTAACTATATGTTTGAATCACATTTATCCGATAAATATAATTTTAAGAATAATTATTTATTTTTTATAATACACATGTGATTTAAATATATAGGTACAAATATCCGATTATTTTATTTTTTACGTAAATGAAAAATGCTTCGGACCCCCACTGGGGGTCGACCTCCAGTGAGGTGGCAGTCCGTGATTGGGCCAAAAAAAAACTATTTTTTTTTTTTTTAGGTTTCAGCCAGTGGGGGTGCGACCCCCACTGGGGGTCTGTAGCGGAATTGTTACGTAAATATTTTACTTAACCAATTATGAAAAGTGAACCATTCATATTATAAAAGTCACAGCTCTAAGATGAGCTCACCAAGTGCAAATTGTTCTCTTAAATTTGCCTAACTTGAGAGAACACAAAAAATAAAAAATCACATGCAACAGGCATAATTTTTTTTTAGCACTTCTTGCATAATAATAAATAAATAAATTGTACGCATGCTTCCTATAATTTCTTACCAATTTTATTTTGATTCCTCTTGTTTCATATGTATTTTTTTTTTATCTATAAAATATTAACAACAATTGACATAGAGATTACATGAGAATGAAATTAAAAATTAATACAATTAAAATTACAAAAACTAAAATATAATTTTAATCAAATAAAAGGGAGCAATAATCAATGATAGAACCATCTCACCTAATAAAAAGGTTGGAGGTGTTTGAGTGAATGTGTTAGTGATATATTTAATATCAACATCGTATCTGGTAATGAAAATGACCTATTTCTGGTCAAAGATCGATTGTTATGTTTGGTATAGGTGATTGTGATTCTATCCACACACTAATTTATTTATTTATTTTTATAATTTACACACTTTAAAAAGTTTCAAACTATTAAGGTATAGGAATATAAATTATCAAACAAAAGTTATAAGGTATAGGAATCGCAATAAGATAAGCCACAATCAAGTTTAAAGTGCTTCATCATCATCATCTTACTTGGGATAGTAAGATTGAAGGGGATAGCATATGAATAAAAATAATTGATGAGTTAAAAAAAAAAAAAATTGATTAAATACAAAGTATAGAAAAGCCCAAATGAGATAATGAATATATTTTAGTATTTTAAACCAGTGTTACTTGCATTGTGCAACTAAGATTGGTTGGATTAGCACATTTTTCTTTAAGTAATATATTTACGTGAATTTTTTTTTAAGATTCTTGATATTAAGATTTTATAAGATAAAATACATATAATATTTTCATAATAGTTGTTATAATAGTTGAAAGAAATATGAAAAATGTGTATTTGTATTATATTGAATGAATTAAATACAATAAGAGAGCTTGTATTTATAGGCACAAACCTAGATAAATATAGAAGGAGATAGAGATAAACAGAGATAGAGATACAAAGGAAATACAGATAGAGATAAGTTATATCTACAATACAAGGAGATAAGTATAAAGACAAGTTTAAATTTAAATCTAATATATACATTAACAGCCCCCCTCAAACTCAAGGTGGGTAAGCATCAACCAACTTGAGTTTGGAAACTAGATCATTGAAACGACTAGGAGGATGAGCCTTGGTGAAAATATCAATAAGTTGATCAGCAGAAGAAGAGGGAGAAGATGAACAGTGCCACGTGTAACATGCTGCCAAATGAAATGACAATCTCAATATGTTTGGTGCGATCATGGAAGACATCATTGTGACCAATCTAAATGGCACTCCGATTGTTACAATAGAGAGAGGTGGCACCAGGAGAAGAAACACCCATATCAGCAATGAACCAACGCAACCATAAAAGTTCCTGAGTAGTGTCAGCAAAAGCGCGGTATTCAGCTTTAGTACTAGAGCAAGCAGTGAGGGACTATTTCTTGCTACGCCAAGTAAGAAGAGAATCTCCTAAAAAGAAACAGAAACCCGTGGTGGAGAGTCGATCAATAGGATCTTCAACCCAACCAGCATTAAAAAAGGCACGAAGCTCGAGAGAAGAGTGAGCAGAGTAGTGGAGTCCATGGAACATAGTGCCTTTGAGGTAGCGAAGTATACGAAGTAGGGCAGTGTGATGCGGAGTGCGGGGAGCCGACATGTACTGACTAACAAGATGAACAACATAAGAAATGTCAGGACGAGTCACAGTGAGATAGACAAGACTATCGACCAGCTGGCGATAAAGAGTAGCATCAGAGAGAAGATCCCCGTCTAAAGGAGTGAGACAAGTCTGAGGATCAACGGGAGTAGAGGTAGTCTTGCAATCGGTAAGACCAGCACGTGCTAGAAGATCGGATGCATATTTGGCTTGTGACAAATAATAACCAGTTAAATCATGAGAGATTTCAAGCCCTAAGAAATAATGAAGAGTACCAAGGTCCTTCATCTCAAACTGATGATTGAGAAATTGTTTGAGGCTAAGAATACCAGCCATATCGTCACCAGTGATAATCATATCATCCATGTAAAGAAGAAGAAGAAGGGTGCCATGAAGAGTGGTCTGAACAAATAAAGCGGAGTCATATGAGCTGGAGGTGAAATCGAAGTCATGGATGGTGGAACTGAATTTTGCAAACCAAGCTCGTAAGGCTTACTTGAGACCATAGAAAGCATGACGTAGTTTGCAAACCTTATGAGCCGGATAAGTAGACCCAAGTGGAGGTTGCATGTAGACTAACTCAAGAAGATCACCATTAAGGAAGGTATTTTTGACATCCATCTGAAAGAGATCCTAGTGGCGAGCAATAGCAACGGCAAATAAGCTACGCATAGAGGTAAGCCAAGCAACCAGAGCGAAAGTCTCCTTATAATCAATGACATATTCCTGGGTGAAACCCTTTGCAACAAGACAAGCTTTGTAATGCTCAATAGAGCCATCATAATGGGTCTTAATTTTGTATACCCATCTACAGCCAATTGCAATCTTTCCAAGAGGAATATCAATAACATCCCAGGTATGAGTCTTGTCTAAAGCCTGTAATTCATCAATCATAACTTGCTACCAAAGAGGATTAGTACAAGCCTCATGATAGAAGGTAGGTTCATAAGTAGAAAAGGCAGTAGACCTAACAATATAATCACAAAGATGAAAAGGTGGTTGAGTTACCCGATGTAGATGATCGGTGAAGATCTGGTAAGGTGATAAGAGACGCAACGGGACCATCAGAGGGAGCAGTCGGGATAGGATCAAGTGTAGGCAAAGGCGTCTCTAGAGAGGAGGAACCTGCATCAAAGGCATTAGAGAAAAGATTGATAGAAGGATTAGTAAACAGAATGGAAGTAGAAAATGATGATAAGTGGAACGAGAATAAAGATGAAAACCATTTAATGCTCCCAAAAAACCACATGACGAGCGACACGAAGACGTTTAGAGATAGGATCCCAGCAACGATAGCCTTTATGTTCAATTACATACCTAAGAAAGCAACAAAGACGAGAACGGGGTTCAAGTTTGGTGTGTTCATCAGGTTGGAGGAGAACAAAGCATGTAGACCCAAAAATTCAAAGATTTGTGTATGGAGGACTAGTGCGATGTAAACGTGCATAAAGAGTTTGGTTATGAATAGTAGGAGTGGGAACACAATTAATAGTGTAGAT